AGGCATGAGGGTGAGTAAATCTTCATTTCAGGTAGATGATATCATTGAATCACAAGTTCACATGTTAAAGGGGTCATATGATGTTGCTAAAAATAACATTATTTTATGTTTTTGGTGTAATGAAATGTGTTTATGCGGTTTAAGGTTCAAAAAACACATTATTTTCCACATACAGTACATTATTGTTTCTCCTCTATGCCCCGCCTTTCTGAAACGCGTCGATTTTTACAAAGCTCATCGGTCTGAAAAGCGAGGTGTGCTGTGATTGGCCAGCTATCCAGTGCATTGTGATTGGCCGAATACCTCAAGCATGTGACGGAAATGTTACGCCCCTCACCATACTGTGATGCCGTGTCCCGGCCGGAGCGACGAGACAAAAACATTAAAACCCATTATAAACGAGGCATTTGTTGCATCCAGTGGGGACATAAATACTGATTATAATGACTTATACTGTCTTTTTATGCGTTGCGTTGCATCGCGCCACGTAAACATAAAACCATGTCTGCATTTGTGATCGGAGAAATGACAAACAACAAGCGCTACTCTACACTGCACAAAACTGTCGTTTGAATCATCAGTGGCAAATTCTTTAAAAATGAAAACGTACTTACAGTCTGTGAGTCAGAACAGCCGGCATTGTAGTCTACTCTCCCAGGAAATAGTCCTCCATAAAATGTGTTGCACACATCTGAGTGAGCGGAGGCCGGCTTGAGTGAGCGGTGGCGGGCTAGAGTGAGCGGAGGCCGGCTTGAGTGAGTGGCCAGCGGGCTTGCGGCAACCACATGTGATGACCCCGGGCTGGATATCGTCCTCTTTTGGAAGGCCAAACAAAGTAGTTTCGCTTTCACCACGAATCACACAGCGTCTCCACAACATGGCGGCGGCAACAGCGAGAATAAAAGTTAAGCCTTCTTTCTTTGCGTGAACATTTGGGTGGCATTATGTAGACACTTCCCACATCGTGACGTAGACATGTGGGGGGCGTGTTAGAATGAGCCGTTTTAGGTAGACTCTTAACTTTTATAAAGAATATCTCTTTGGATTTGAGACTTTAGTCTTTGCAACTTTACAGATCTTCTTTATGCATCAAGAGCTTGTAACACTCCAAAGAGAAAGGAAAAATTGAAATCGCATCATATGACCCCTTTAATATAATGCTTGAATGAGATGAAGGTAAACTTGCTGGCTTGCTGTCTGTAATGGAGGGCTTGAGAATGAAACATGATTCAAGCTCTCAACTATCTCCTTGACAAGCTAAATACTGAATACAGAATATAAATTAGTAGAAATAGAGGAGGAGTTAGGGTGATTGACAAGATTAGATGAACATACTTCTCCCAAAATTTTATTTAGAACTCCAAGATGAGATAACTAAATGTCAGCATACAATCACGACTACCAAATCACTGGTATTTGCATGACATTCTCTTGCTTTCATGGCTCTTAAGACAGCACTGATGCTAACAAAACACTTAGACACTAGGTATGTTCACATGCACCAATTTTCACTGGATTCGGAATGAATCCAATCCACTTTTAGATTCTGAAAGTGCTGTTTATATGAATCCTTAACTTTACAGTCTGATTCAAATATGCACTGTATGTATCATGAAAAAACTTCACCGCATTCAGAGCTGGATAAGGTCACCGCTGTCACACCCCTGTGGACGGTTGTTTGTGGTTTCTCCCTCTGTGTCCTTATTTGGTTGTTCCTGTTCTAATCATTAGTTAATTATCCTCATTGTGCTCACCTGTCTGCCCCTCGTTATCTGCCCTATATCTGTTCCTGTCTCTTGTATTCGAGTTTATCGGTTGTTGTGAATGTTACCCTGTGTGTTGATGTCTACCCTGTCTGGATCGCCTGCTTGCAATTCATTAAATATCCTTTATTTTGTCATCTTCGTCGTCCTGCCTGGTCTCTAGTACACCCTGCCCGTGACAGAATAACCGACCCAAAAGAATAAAGTTCCGTGTTCTCCCCTCCGTTTGTTTTCCGGTTTTTCCTCAGTGTTTTTCTTTCCTAGGAATTTGCCACCTTTGTGGAGTGGACTCTGGCGAGAAACGGGTCGCCACTCCCCATCAGCCCCGTGGAGGATCTCGCCGGATCCACTTCGGACCCCGAGCCCAGCCCACCATCTCCCAGCGGTACGGAGCATCAGCCAGAGCCCACTGATGACGGAGAGCCATTTCCCACTGCGATAAACGAGCCAGAGCAAAGCCAAGCGACTGAGCGGAGGATCGCCTCGGATGTTGAGCCCAGCCCGTCAGACCAGGTGCAAGAGCCGGTGACCGTGCCCACCACGAGGGAGCAAGCCGTGGATGGTGTGAGCGCGGAGAGGAGCTCCGCCCCCTGCATCATGGCTGAGGGTGAGCTGACTATGGC